AGGCCGGAAAGAAGGAAATTGAAAAGCCCCTTTGGGCGAAAAGGGTGTGATAATTTCTTTGGTTTTGGGTCAGGAAGAACACCAGAAAAGCAAATCCATCCCCAATTTTATAATTATTTTTATTTTTTAATGTCCTCGTGGTGTCAGATTGACACGTGGCGTTCATTCATTGTCTACATAGACGTCACGTCATTAGTTGACAGATGTTTTAACAAAAAATTTAAGAGATGTATGAAAGTGTATCAGAATTATGATTTTATGTACTAGACTAAGGCGAAAAAACTTATGAATATTAAAAATTAAGAAATTTCAGAGTAATAATATGATATTAAACCTATTAATATTTTCGACGTGAGTTCTTTTGATTTGAAAAGCTTCCATATTTTTGTGATTCTTTTGGAAGATTGTAATTGCATTTATACGACAATAAATAAATAAAAAGTAAATGATATAATCAAGGAGAAAAAAAATAGGGGAATTAACTTTTAGGAAATCAAATATATAAAAAAGGCATTTGTAATAATGACGGCCAAGATTGGTAATAGGGAGTCTCTCAAAGTATTTAATGACTCGTTTAGAAATGTTTTTAAAATACCTGAAAACGTTTTTAGTGCTGTAGATTTGTTGTCCTTTTTTATGTGTCTCTTTTGTGTCTCGTTTACTAATATTTTGACTCGGAAAATTTTATTTAAACTTATCTAACCTCTTTCTATACCCAACTTAAATTCTAAATATGAATTGTCTATTTTATCTTAATGCATAATTACCATTAAGTACAAGATGAAATTAAGAATAAAACTAAAATTTATCAATAAACCCATACTCAATAATTAAGTTCTACCATCATACAATCTTTATCCTATACTCATTTTGACTAAATTCCTAAGAGCTGCCATAAAACCCTACGATCACCTAATAATCAAATCCGGTTGCTTTTCATTTCCTCTCTAGCTTCATGTTAACTCGATCAGCAAGAGCAATAATTACAAGCAATATCACCACAAGAAACAAAAGAGTCAGAAAGCTTTCAACAAATTGATGTTGTTTATCAATTCATCTATTAGAAACTCGACCAAAAGACGAAGCGATTTTTGCGTGCTTACTCTTGTAATCACTCCATGTGCCATGTGCAAACAATCGAAGCACATCGAGGTAGACATAATTTTCAGTTCCTTCAAGCTGCACATATTCCACAATAAAAAAAACAAATGCATATGAAGCAAGACCCAGTAACAATAAACAATTTTATTTTGTCTTTGGCTACAACAAAATCCTGATTATACATCATTTGCTCAAACCCAGAAACTACACCACCAAAATATACATAGAAAAATGAAACTTCCACAATAAATAAATAGAAACATGGAACCTGAAGAACATTAGGGACATCGATAATTTCCGAAAAGGAAAAAAGGGCAAGGTGGGAGGTGACTTCTGCGACGAGGGGGCCGAGGGCGGAGCCATCGAGTGATGAGGCTTGCTTCACAAAGTGATCAATGACCTCCTCTTGCTTTTGCTTTCTAAAAGGGTGTAAAGATGAATTTTTATATATTGAATTGAGTTTGTGAGGGTATTTTAGATAGTAAATTTGGGTTTAAAAAGAGATTGATTCTTTAATTAAAAATAATATGGGTGTAAAGAGTAAATTGGGTGTAGAAAGAGGTTGTATGAGTTCAAATAAAATTTCCCTTTTGACTCATATCCTCTAACTTAATTGAGAAATAACTTTGTTAAGTTATTCATTTCTTTTTTATTTAATATTCAATGCGCCCAATTGAGCACAAGGCGAAAGCAACCCAACAATCGTAAACCCATCAAGACCCATTATACATCTTCAATGACTCATGGTGAAGACCCTTTTGAGAGTAACACCAGATCATAGAATTCCAAGATCAAGTCTCTCTTAGTCATATTATCAAACACCTTCTGCACCCTCAATCAACCCATCTCCCCCATCAAAAATCAATCGCATTTCCCTTACTCTTTATTTGCGTTTCCGCTTCAACCGAATTCGATTTGTCGCCGTCTTCGTTTTCACTCTCATTAACTCGGCCTATCGGGGTTTGAGAAGAAAAATATGAGTTTCGCATATGGCATCCAAGCGGATCTTCGTTTTCTCTCTCAGTAACTCGGCCTATCGTCGTCTTCGTTGTGTCATATGGGTTTTGGTTATGGATTTTGATCTGGGGCTTTTGGTTAGGGATTTTGATCGTGGGTGTTGATATATGGATTTTGATATGAAGGAACTCAAAAATCTGCAGAAGGATCCTCTTGTGTTTGATTTTGTTTTTAATTTTTAAATGTCAAGTAAAAACTTAACGGCGTTATCTCTCAGTTAAGTTAGAGGATATGTGTCAAAATATAAGTAAACGAGACACAAATAAGACACGTAAAAGGGGATAGCGAATCTACAGCCCGTTTTTAAAGAAAATATTTTTGAGTTTTAAAAGCACTTAAGTACTTCCTGGAAGAAGTACTAATTATGTGTTTTTTCCAGAAAACATTTTCAAGTGTTTTTCAAGATTTACTTGCGTTTTTTACCAAAATTTAGTTATAAATTTCACAAAACTAAAATTACTTTCGAACGATTTCTAACATACGTTGGAAAGAAAATGGAGAAATAAATTTTTTTTTTGTTAATGTTAGTTTATGCTACTAATTTGAGGTTTAAACTTAACCAAGTCAAACCTAATGCATCATTAACCCAATTATATGGTGTGGTTTTGGCAGGTTCTGGACCCGCCAGCGTTGTCGATCCTAGTCTCATGACGTCACTCCATACGCATTACACATGCAATTCACTGTTTACTCTCTCATAATCAAGGCCGAAAACCATCTAAACGATCCTCTCGTTACGAGAATTCTCAAATCGTTTATCGTACAACAAGTTTTTATTAAATATTATTTATATTTAATTTAAAATAAAAGTATTTAAAATAATTTTTAACATTCTCACATCTCATTCCAAAACCCCTTACCTCTATAAATACCCGAATGCCTCTCTTCAAGTCACATAAATTTTCCTTCCACGACTTCTTCTACCGGAGCTTCCCCCCGACGTCGTTTAACACACAGCGCCGTTCGCATCGCAATGTGTCCCTCCGGCCGAACTCTCAGCGTGGAGACCGCGACGACTACGCTCACCTCTGACTTCCGTCCAGCATTTGACGTTCTGGACGCGGACCACGACGGCAAGATCAGCAAAGACGACCTCCGAGCCTTCTACGCCGGCTTCTCCAGCTCCGCCGCGGACGAAAACCTCATCAGATCGATGATTTCTGCCGCCGATTCCGACAACGACGGGTTCGTCCAGTACGAGGAGTTCGAGCGCGTCTTGGCTTGCGGTGACGGGGAGAAAAGCTCGGGAGTGATGGATGACGTGTTCAAGGTGATGGACAAGGACGGCGACGGGAAGCTCAGCCACGAGGACCTGAAGAACTACATGAGCAGCGCCGGCTTCGTCGCCACCGATGAAGATATCAAGGCCATGATTAAACTGGGCGGCGGCGATGAGAACCAAGGCGTGACGTATGCTGGCTTGCTTAAGATCCTGGCCGTTGATCAAGTCGGCGAAGCGCCTTGAGCCCTTGACCACATTGCTCGCCAGGTCTTAGTTTTTGGCTTCATTGTGCTCCAGCCAGATTTTTCTGTATTCTCCGCGAAAGTGGTGGGAAACAGAATTAGTGTGTCGTTTGAAGCTGTATGTGATGACAAAGAAAAGCTGATAGGTGTCCCTGCTTCGTTCTGGTCGGGTTTGCCAAATTTGTTTGTTAGTGTTTGGCTCCATGCTAATATTATATAGCATGCAGAGAATCTTTTTCCAAGTATTTTTCTTTTAATCAATAATATTCGAAATTTTCTTTGGTTGTAGGTTCAAAATACTTGGTGTCCACATATATTAGCATACAGTGGAAGTGTACGTTCTGCAATAAACGGCATGCAATTTAGTCTTCTTAACATTACCCGATATTACATACCCCAATGAACTATATGTCTCAATTGAGAAATTCTAGAGCGTACGAGATTTGATTTGTATGTAGTTTTTGATAGTGATAATTCATTAATAATAGAAACACAATATAACACGGTTATAAGAAGGTGATAATTGGGTACATTTTTTTTATTGGTGGATAGAATAAGCACGCGCAACAAGCAAGCATAATGCATTCCTTATGTGACAAACACAATAAACAAAGAACACATAAGAACCAACGGTGCAAATCTTGCCACAATAGATCAGTGGTGACAAATTCGAAATTTAGGATCACATAAAACCATCGCTAAAAAGCGAGGTCACACAAACAACTGGGCATCATAAACATACATAAAACAACTAAGCCAAAAGAAAACCACCATCGGTTCATCTCCATAGCGACAAAACAAGGCACACTCGACACGACCATATGCAACATCACCGGATCCGTGGCAACCACGACTCAGTCAAAGTTCATCTGTCACTAATATGGCCATTGAAAGTGATTCGACTACATATCTTAACCATGACTCCACGAATTTGATCATTTATAGTTTAAGTAGTTAAGATCGTGTATTTATGCACTTCAAGTTACAAATTCGATTCTTGAAAATCCCCAGTATAGAAACTCAAATTTGTTTTATGATAACTGAAATTGAAATGTCATTTGGCAAGAAAAGAAGGAAATTGTAGTAGGAGCCAATTTGTAAAGAAAAGTAAATTGGTATCAAGTCTAATTGGATCTCATTGTTTTTGTTTTTGTTTTCAAGTTAGTGTAACTAGCATATCCGCATACGCAACACATTGTAAACATGCAAGTACGTTTTAAAATTGTGTAACGCATTTGAATCAACACGGACTTCAAAACTCTACCATAATGACCTTTTATTTTCTGTGTCTGAATTAACATAAAGAAAGGGAAATTATCAAATCTCAATGATCGATGTATCAATTTCCAATAAAATTTTGATTTGATTTTGATCAGTTGAGATATGATTTCTGATTTCGTCGAACTCAAAACCAAACGTTTGCCAAAAAAATTGACATTAATAAAAACGAGAAATTTTCCTTTGGTCATGTTTCCGGCACACTAAAAATCCATCGAAAAGAATAGCAATCGTACACAATGACCATTCTTAAGCAATGATAAATGATTAGTACATACAGATCCTGCTAGGGAGAAAACCGCTCCCCCGACTTGCACGTGGATAGTTTCTAAGCAAATGTTGTAAAGCAATAAGGTGGAGAGACCGCGACGTCACCTTTGGTTTGAGGATTTCATCATTTTCAACATTCGACGTAGAAGCGCTGGATGTTGCACAGAAACTCACTTCCATGATGGGTGCAAGATGAAATCGGTCAAGCAATAGGGTGCAAGATTGTACTCAGTATAAATCAATCTTAAATTTCTTCACTGCTTTATAACGTACAAAGTACAACACATTAGGCTCCATCTCAAACGGCTCGTCCAATGGTCTCTGGCTCGCACTGTCATAAGGGGAATTGAAACCGGTAAGCTGAACAAGAAACAACAGTCTCTATAAGAGTAAATAAGTATGAATATATGAGTTGCCTGCTATCTGATTCTCCATCTCCACTGTCCTCGAGCTGGATATGTCCAAGATGGTACTTGGTTTTGAGCTGGATATGTCCAAGATGGTACTTCGTTTTGCAGACAACAAATGTATCCAATTGGGGTCTCGGCACTGAAAGTCGAGCATAGACAGAACATTGTTAGAGTTCACAATTCCAATCTACAAGCTGCCTACCATATATATGATCAATAAAATAAAAAAAATCTGTTTAGTAGAAAATAGTCTGCCGTTAAAGCAATTCTATGCGGTTAAAGAAATATATCAAGAACAGTACTAACCGCGGGGAAAGATCAGACTACCGGGGGGGGGGGGCTAAGAATTTCAAGTTTTTCATAGAAAACAACCTTGGTTCCACACTAGCTTGTCATTGGATACCTCACTGCATGCTATTACAAGTTTTTCTTAGCACAATAGCGACCATATACGATTCTGCCTAACAATATCAGAAAACGCAAGCCTCTCAGGTAAATTGTCGAAAAGGCGACCAATAACTATATATCTTGGAATTAAAACTTTAAGCATTAAGCATGTGGAATTGATCTTAGGTAAATGAACTGTTACTATAATAGTAGACATCACATACGGGGTGGGGGTGGGGGAAGAATAGAGATTCATCACGAAATTCTGAAAGGATAATGTGAATGTTTACCCATGTCAGTCTCCTTTTCACTTGATTGACGGAATACAGACTGATAAGTAGAAGGCAACTGCAACAGAACGCTCTTTTCAAGATGCGTCTGCAAATCAGCGCAGCACCTGCAACCACTAACCATGTCAACTCCAAAACACAGTAAATCTCAATCATGTGCTTCCAATGAATGAACACAAACTAAAAATGAGATAGTTGGAGTCCTCGCTGTTCAACAAACAGCTTCTCCTTATCATAGAGACGGCTTTCAGCATTATCCCGAATGTGAAACATGTATTTCTCAATCTGCAAAAGGAAGTTACTTGAGAGACAAACAACAAAGCTTTGTTTAGTAGCATATATGAAATTTCCAAATGCTTATAGCAACCTAGGATTCAACTTTCTTTTAATAAACTTATCATGAAACATAGTGAATGCTCGTCTCTCTATCACCGAAAAACAAGCAAAGAAGCAAACAGTAAGAATTGCTACCTTCTGCAAACGAATTCGGTAATAAGATCTCAACAAAAACTGAGTCCTGTCCAAATCCATCTGGTAGAGTGACACGGTAAGCGGATCAATACCGCTCTCAGTGAACTCCTCCACAGTTTCTTCCTGTTAGTTATATGAATCCAATTGGGATTATAAATAACACAAATTACTAGCACAAATTTCAACCCAATTAACATGCTAAACTAACAGTAAGATTACTTCTTTTTCCTTTCTCAAATTTCAGAATAACAAAGCAACTGCTATTAGCACTTTAAAAATATCATTCTACTCTACGTTCCTAACAAGTGAATTTTTTTTTTAATTATAAAAAATTTGAAGTTGCAAAGTAAAATTTTTGGAGTGTCAATAACAATCCTCTTAAATAAATACCGGATAAATTTTAGTTTTTGTCAATACAAACGATATTCAAGAATCGAACACAGCATCTCGAGTGCATGTAAACGTTTTTTAACCAGCTGAGTTACAAGGCCATAGGAGAAATGTTAGCGTTGCCTTTTGTTTTTATAATTAGAAAAAAAAAATATAGTCGTGAAAAACGTAAAATGAAATTTTTGAAGTGTTAATAATAGTTAGGTCATTTAATATCCGATGCTAAATTTTTGTGGCTCAAATTCAATACAACAAAATAATGACAGTAAAAATAGAAATTAGGGTTTTGTTTGTTTATATTTAGCGAAGTTTACCATCAATTGGATCTGCTCAATGATTCTCCGAATCAAGGCACTCTCGAACTGAAGAACCTCCGGAGTGGCCTTCTCCTGCCGCCACGCACTCTTCAGGAGCTTCACGTCCGTCTCGTAATCCTCCGTTGACCCTGATTCCAGACCCGAATCCATTCGATCCGATTCCCAAATATTTCAGATTCTTCCCCTCCCCAATTCTTCTTCTTCCGAGTCTGGAGGGAAACAAAAACTGATTGAGAGGGAAAATCTGAATCGGAATTGGCGCCAAAAAGCTAAATTAATTTTTATTTTTGCAAAGAAAAGTAATTCAGATAAAAAGCGAAGCAGGAAAGGGGGGTACGGTGTTGGAAGAGGAGACAGATCACGAGTTTGTGCGTGAATCTAACACCGTTGGATTAGCCATCAGACAGATGGACAGCTGAGATGGGGTTTGATTCAGGCACAAACTGGAGATGTGCCCCGTCTGATCTGATATGATCTGATGGAGAATGGAAGATATGGATATAAATAGATAGGGTGGGAGACGATGGGGGTCTGAGAAGAAAAAGGGATGGAAAATATTGCCATTTGTAGGAGGGTTGGGAGAAGGAGATCGACCGTCACGCACCTCCAGATTTGGACCAAGCACTTGTATCTTTACGTGTACCAAAAAAAAAAAACGAATATCAAATGTTTAAAAAACCAAAACGGTATCGTGTGTTGGAATTTGGAAGAAAATAAAGTTTGTTTTTAAGTTTTTTGTTGGCACGTGATAAAAATATGAGGTGGTGAAGAGTTAATGGAGAATTCCATTTTTCAAATAGTTTTTTGGCATCTCTCTTTCAAGCTTTCTTCTTTTCTTTTTTTTTTTTTTTGGTGAAACAATAAATTTATTCAATTAGATGCTAGAATAGAGAGTGGGCGAAAATTGAATCCACACCATGGTGCAAGAATAACACTTATCTCTGAAGAAGTTGAAGGTTCCTCCTTCCTCCTCCCATCAATGTGGAACTCATTCTCAACACGTCCCCTCACTTGTGGCGAATTTTCATTTTCAAGCCTAACACGTGGACAACACAATGGGGTGACGTGGAGCGCGTGTGACCGTTTGGCTTCACACATGGGACAACGTGCTCTGATACCATGAAGAAGTTGAGGTTCCATCATAAAACCAATTTGCAATATGAGGAGTAGTTCAACATCTTATAAGCTCATGCAAGATTCATTCTCTCATCAATGTAGAACTCATTCTTAACAATCTCTACTACACTTTCTTTCTCTTTCAACCTTGTTGTTAAGCACCATGAAAGTGCCTAAATAGCCACTAGGGATGTGGACTCCACGAACAAATTGATACCAAATCGTTAAAATCTTTTTCATGTCTTTTATATTGAAGACTTTTATTCTGTTGTAACGTACTTTACTTTGAAATTTAAAAAATGAATCCACTTATATTTATACAATATGCCAAAAATTGTATATATTTCTTTAATCAATAGTATAATCTGTATTAAATCTATTTAATTTGCACGACGATTTCAATTTAAGTGCATAAGTTTGGCGATTTGGGCAAGCCAAGGTATGCAAAAATGGACATGCATTACACAAAAATGTATACTTTTCAGCTCCACTAAGCTGTCTGTTTACAACCGCCAGGGGGTTTGCTAGTAGTTTCTAACAATGATAAATCACGCGGTGGACCAATAATTGCAGTGCCGAAGTCACTAACCGATCATTTTTAAGAAAAATAATAAATCTGTTTGTATACAATCGGCCAAGCCCAAGCACATAGTTGCAATTATTCTCTAGTGTACACTAAATCCGCATCTAATTTATACGTTTAAACAGCAACCGTTAGATTAAAATAAACGGAGATGAAGGCTTTTCTTCAAGTTACAACCGGGTCAAAAAAGACCCGAATTGGAAACCCGCCCATGGTAGAACGTTTACTTCCAATCACTCCGGTTCTCTCATCTATTTCACTGATTGCTTTTCTTTCTCCTTCCTTCTCCAGGACGCCTGAAAGCACCACTGCAAGCCTGCAATTGCAGCGTAGGTCGTTGAGATTGATCCAGTTGGAGCATAAATTAAAGTTCCAATACTAACAGTTGAGATTGATCCGATGGTTAGGAAAGAAGCGTGCAACTAGTATGTGTACTAGAGAATGCCAATGCCAAGTTGTTGATCGATGTACTGTCATGCAGACACATATGGTCCAAAACAAAGCTGATTTGGGGCGGGGCACAGGCCAGGCCGGGCCCAAAGAGGGACCGGATATGACCCGTTTGAAAAAACAAGAAGGCGGGGCGGATTTTACAATTTTAAAATTGAGAACCGAACCTAACCCGACCCATATAAAATGGACCTGTTCCTACAGGTCCAAGGGTACATTTTTTTTTCTCTAATTTTCAATATCCTAGATTCCTAGTCAAATTTCCACTCGACCGAGTTCGAATTCAAGTTCAAAATTGAATTTTTGGACAGGAAAAGGGCACCGTCGGAAACAAATCAAAGAACTGGAGCGATGAAATCGATCAATTTTCAGTATCCCACTCTCCTCTACAATTACTGAAGCACATCGACATCACCCCATCCAAGCTCATTCCTTAACTGCTGCGAGAAAATCTTGTAAGCGTCCATCCCCAGATCCACAACTGCAGCCAACGTGACGAAAGCCCTTGCGTCATTCGTGTAGTTCTCGTGCTACAAGCTCACCTCCATTGCAGTTTCAACGGCGCATTTAGGTTTGTTTGCAACGGTGATGGTGATTGTTGCAGAGGAGATGGGAAGGAGAATATGGGTGATCTGAAGGATCCAGATGTAATGGATTCGACAAGAATCCTAATTCGTAGTACTTGTGATGTGTAGTACCAAGGCAGGTCGACTCTGGAGACCAACTGACTAGATCTAAAGGCTGGAAATGGTTGCTGAAACGAAGAAGAACGCCGACTAGTTAATGAACAGACAGAGATGGGAGAATTTGAGGTCGAGATTGAGAGGAGTCAGAGGACTTTGGAGAATTCAACATAACCTATGTGTTAGAAATAAATGGTGGAGATTTAATCACCTTATAATGAACGGTGGAAAAGGTTTGGGCCAGGGGCCCGTTTGCTCTAAAATTTGTACCCGTCCCGCCCCGTTTTGAATTTACAATATATGTACCCGTCCTGTACCCGACCCGCGGGTCGAAGACCCGTTTGCCCAGCTCTAAAGCTGATAACATCGAAACAGTGAAAACAACACTTGAAGTTTGTAATGGTTTCAGAATCTCGATAGTTCGATACTATTTTGGATAATTTTTCCTATACTTTCAAGTATTGTGATTTTCAAACTTTCATACATTTTTCGTCGTCCTAGTTTCACACATAAAGTGAGGATTGTGTGACACTTTCATACTTCCGTTAGCTGTTCTGTCAATACTCAAGAGCTTAGTTAACTGATGACGTGGCTCATTGATTGGATGATTACTATGCATCCACGTGGCACTGTGGCTCTGCGTGGACAATTATAAAATGTCATTTTCATACTTCCTTTAGATGATACATGCTTAATAGAAACATAAAATTTATTTAGTCAAATTGTGCGAGTGTAAGAAAAAAGTGTAAGATGACATTTTCTGATTGAAATTGCATAAAAACACCACATTAGCCATGCATACATTCATGGCATTTTATTAATATATGAGTTGAAAATATTACAACACACGACATGACCAACCCTAGATGGGTGAAATCAAACATGCGCCTTGCAACCTTAGACGCATCTTTTAGATATATGGCGACATGTTATTATTGAGTTCCACTTTATTAGCAAATTACAACATAATTTATATTACACAACCTTGATTCCTGATGAAGGCTTAATTTCAAAAGCTTATGTCTAGCCCTTGGATCAAACCCTAGCTACACTTATTGGTGGTGAAATTTATCGTCGGGAAAATAACGGTGGGAATCATTTCCGGTAGGAGCATTTCCATACTGACCATAACTCTCATTGGCATCACCGTCATCCTCGTCAAGTTTAGCCTCGTTGTTGTTTGCGGTCTGAGACTGAGGTTGATTCTTCGCATTGCCGTCAGCGACAACGGCAGTGCTCCGGACCTGATTTTGATCATTTTTAAGTGAAGCCAGCAGGTGACGTTCATTTGGAGTGAGCCTTTTAGCATCAGCTTGAAGAAATGCCAAGATCAAGGCAAAGGCAACACATGTTATGAGCAAGGTCCTCATGGAGATTAAACTAATTTAACCTTGAAATTAAAATTACAAAGAGGTACATGTAAGTACTGCAAGTAATTAAGTAATTAACTAGCTACTTAATCAAAGTGTTATTAATTAACAAGACATGAATCAACAAACAAGCAAACAAAATCCTGAGAAAAATAACAAACAAACATATGAATAATTAGGGTTTGTGGAAGATACCCAGCAAGTTTGCTATAAGAGAGTAATTTCTGAAGTGGGCAATGACAGTATTGATGCTCCAAGGTGACATTTTTATAGGCGATTTTGGCCTACCAAAGTTAGTGTATTTTCTCCTGTTGTAGATAATTAGATAATTGGAGCGTAATTAAGACAATAAAATCTCTTAGCACTACGCAGTGGAGGGTTATATTACTGTGGCACCATATTTGTCGAAAGGCTATGGCCACCAAAGAAGCAATTATGATGATGAATGATAATTAAGGTGTTTAATTAACTGCATTGTTGACTTTTTATTATTCAAAAATGAATTATTGGCTGCGATCTAATTTCTTTGGAAACATTATTATGTGGTAATTAAATGTTACGTGGTATAATCGGTTTTATATGTTAAAAATGTGATAGATAAAGAGGTTGATATTTCTCACTTTTAAATCACATGAGGAATTTTTAGGGTTTGACCTTAATATCATAAAGTAGACATATCCATATTGAAAAACAAAACTAGAACCATCTAAAAAGAGAGACTACTAAACGCACTGAACATTTTGATCCAAATATCACCGAAATCGAGATGTGCTGACCATCATTCGAATATATGACGAAGCTATAACATGCATGAAAACATAATTAAAGATGTCATCTATATAAATCTACTAAAAACTTGGCAAAACTTCCTCTAAAATAAAGATTGGCCCAACTTGAAACATCTGCAAGTACCACTTTCCCGAAGGGCCACACCTAATAGGTCTCTGACCCTCTATTACATGCCAGCCAATATGTTCAGAGCACATTTGCCAAAATACAAGTTCTGTTAATAAAGATGAATATAGGTAAGCTACCAGGGTAATAATGTGTTAGAGCTTTGGAAAGATGCCTCAACGTCTAATATCCTCACTGCAACTGCTACTAGTTCCGATGACATATCATACAATATCGGATCAGGATCCTCTCCTGAGCAAATGGAGAGGATCCTCCTGACCGGGCCCGTCGGACAGTTCAAAATTTATCCAACGGTTACAAACAGGCAGCTCCACTAAAAATTATAATAATTATAGCCGTTGGATAATTTTTGAACGGTCCGATGGACCCGGTCAGGAGGATCCTCTCCATTTGCTCAGGAGAGGATCTTGATCCTACAATATCATACACTGGTCGTGGCTAGTATAAGCTAGATAATATAATCATGTCATAACTAAGTAGTCTCAAAGTAATGGCAAGCTGAGTGCATGATTGTATAATCATTTC